GGTGGGTGGGGGGTGAGAAGCAGGGGCCGAGGGCAGGTGCAGCTTCTTTCTTGGTGATGATGGGGAGTGTCAGTAAGAGCAGCGGTCGCCAGCCTTTCGGACCTCAGGGACCACCGGGTGGCGACCGCTGTGGAAGAGAACCTCAGCCTGATGACCGAAGCCAGACGACTGAAGGGCTGTGTGCATGCGGCCCTCTCAATGGAAATAGCAGAGAAGGAACTGTGCGCTCAGGAAGTGAGGCGAAGGCTTGCTCAGTGTCGAGTGTGGCGAGTGAGCTCTAGTACCAAGGAGAAGTGAGCGCAAGGCAGTCTGGGGAGCTGGGCGAGCAGAGCTGGCGGACGTGGAGGAGAGCGGGTGGGGCGCGCTCACTTTCCCCTCACATCCTTTTCTCTATCTGAGTAAATATTCCCATCACTGACTTCTCTCCTGTGACTGTGCCGAGATTCCTTCCTGTGGGTGAGTTAGGAAACCACTCTGCCAGCCAGGTGGCTCCCTCTCCGTGCCCCCAGCCTGCCTGCCAAGCACAGTGTAACCCAGGCCTGTCTGTGTCCTTGAAACAGGAGTGAATTTGTTAGTGGGAACAGAAAGTGGCCTGATGCTGCTGGACAGAAGTGGCCAAGGGAAGGTATACCCTCTGATCAACCGAAGACGATTTCAGCAGATGGATGTCCTCGAAGGCTTGAATGTTTTGGTGACAATATCTGGTAAGTACTTGCTCAGGAAAGCAGGGATATAGCACTGTTTCAAACAGCACCTCCTAGCACTGACCTTCAGCTACCTCATCTTCTGAAGTAACGGCTGCATGAAATGAGATACAGCCAGATCAGGTGTGACTCGCCACACACCCTAACCCCAGGTGCACTCTAACCCCAGGTGCACCCTATCCCCGGGTGCACCCTAACCCCGGTGCACCCTAACCCCAGGTGCATCCTACCCCCGGGTGCACCCTAACCCCGGTGCACTCTAACCCCGGGTGCACCCTACCCCCGGGTGCACTCTAACCCCGGGTGCACTCTAACCCCAGGTGCATCCGAACCCCGGGTGCACCCTACCACCATTCCTCTGAGGAGCAGCCTTGGGAAGCACGGGAGCCCCGGGCATGGACACCCTCACGACCCACACTGCCCTGTGGCTCCTTGGTGTGTAGGTCTGTGCTGCTTCCACCCGTGCTACTCTTCATGCAGAGGCACTGCTCCTGCCACAATAGTAAAAGCAACGTGTTTTTTCTTCCATCAATTAACACCATAAGTTTCTTTTCAGAAAGAGCACCTTTTTTAGTATAAATTATGTAGTAAATGTTCATTATTGAAAGTGACAAACTACTGCAGAAAAGCAAGTAAAACCTAAAATCATCCAAAGATAAGGTGTATTAACCTTTCGGTTTTTAACTTCCAGTCTTTTAAGCATAGACACACTCAAAATACACTTACGGGGGGGAAATCTATGTAAAAATGATTATGCAATGTTTCAAAACATCCAGAGAATAAAAATGAGAAAATAGGATACCCATCTACTGACTAGCTGGTTTTAGTAGAAGTTAAAACACACTGTTGTCCATGCAGTTAGCATGCCCTCTGCCCGCCTCCCACAGGAACCACTGTCCTGTGTGCCCTCCATTCCTGTGTCCAAACCTTGCAGCCTGCTCTTCCCGTCATTGAACGTTCTCCATGATCCCGTGCTTTACAGACCCAGTGCTTCTCTGCGTAGCTGTGCTAACATTCACTCGCCTTCTGTTGTACGTCTTTCCGTCCACCCCCTTCCCCTCATGTATGCGTGTTTCACAAATGTCTTTGTAGCTTGCTTATCCGTGAGCATGCATACTCATGTTTCATAGATTGTAATTTCCTAATAACTTGTATTGGTGCTGGGATCAAAGAGGATGCAAAATTATGACTTCCTTTTTTTTTAATATATTTTTATTGATTTCAATATTAATGATGAGAGAGAACCATTGATCGGCTGCCTCCTGCACACCCCCCACTGGGGATCGAGCCTGCAAACCTGGCACGTGCCCTTGACCAGAATCGAAGCTGGGACCCTTCAGTCTGCAGGCCGATGCTCTATCCACTGAGCCAAACCAGCTAGGGCAAAATTATGACTTTCAATAGGTCTTAGTTTTGATTTAGTTATCTGCTAACTCAATCTTGTTGTGTTTGTTTATATGTAACAAATTTCTTGCAGTTATTTTAGTTTTCAAATAGGCTTTTGGTTGTAAGTAAAGGTGTTTGTTGAAATGCAGAAATGATACCATCCCACTTAAGTGAGAAAACAGTCATTAAAAACTTGAGTGCTGGTGGGGAGTGGGTTCTGAAACGGGAGGTACGCAAATCTGCACATAGAAGAGGCTGAGACTTCACTCTGCTGTGCCAGACGGTTCATGGAGGGCTATGATCAGCTGGTGCCAATGATAATTTTTTGGTCTAATTTTCCATATTCCTTTTTAGCAGCTTTTAATGGTTTTCACAATCATAAAAGTAATACATGTCAACTGTAGAAGCTTCAAAAACAGGAACACTTAGAAAGCGTAAATGTTACTCCTGTCTTTGGCATAACTGTTGTTAACATTTTGTATTTTCTTCTCTTTTCTATAAATATATCTCACAATATGGGAATAAAACACTTTACATAAAACTATGTGGTCTTTGTTTCACCATATTCAATATTCTCCCAAATTCTTCAAAATTTAAAAAGTATAAGACGTAGTACAGAAAGTGCACAGATGCTGAGTCTACAGCTCAGTGATGTCAGTTAGAACCCACACAGCCCGCACTGGCGAGAGAGCAGCCACACCCAGACCCTCCCTCGTGCAGCCTGTCAGTCACAGATGGAAACATGCTCCTGACTTTAACACCTTCGATTGATTTTGCCTTCATTGAACTGAAGTCATGTTAATGGTAAAGTCATAAGTAGTATTCTGTGGCTGGCCACTTTAAGTCCATAGTTTATATTGGGGTGCACTCTTGTGTTGTGCATTCTGGGTTCTGACAGTGCATAATTACCCACCACGACAGTGTCATACAGACTATTCTCACTGCCCTGAAAAGCCCCTGGCTCCACCTGCTCGCCCCTCTGCCCACGCCCCTGCAGCAGCTGATCTTACTGTCTCGCCCTTGCCTTTTTCAGGTGACAGTTGGAATCACAGCATGTAGCCTTTCAGACTGTTTAGTTTCAAATTTCCAACTGCTTTGGCAATATATAGGAAAGAAGTTGACTTTAAAAAAACACATTTTTTATTGATTTTGGAGAGAGGGAAGGAGAGAGTGAAGGGGAGAGAGAGAAACAGCAATCAGCTGCCTCCTGCACACCCCCACCAGGGATTGAGCCCGCAACCCAGGTATCTGCCCTGACAGGGAATCAAGCCAGTGACCTCTCGGTCCATGGGCCGACATTCCAACCAGCTGAGCTACCCGGCCAGGGCTTACCTGGATTTTTATCATGAGATGGTGCTGGGTTTTGTCAAATGCTTTTGTGTGTGTATGGTTTATAGCTGTATTTGTTCCTCTTTATTCCTGTGGGTGACCATGTCACACTCATTCTGCTGTTGATAGACACTCGTGTTGCTTCCTCGGTGGGGCTGTTAGAAACAATGTTCATGTATGTGGGAGCTCATATACACACATGTATATGAGGAGAGAAATGACTGGATCATAGCAATGTATACGTTTATTCTACTTTCATAGATAACGCCGAGCTTATCAAAGTGGTTCTAACAAATTTCAACACTAGTTACTCAAGTTTTTAGTTATTCCACATGTCTCCTGCTTTCAGTATTATTGCTCTTTTTAGTTCTAGACACGGATAGGTGTATGCCTTTGTGCCTCATTATGTCTAATGTGCATTCACTATTGACTTTTGAGAGCAGTACCTCTGTATGTATCTATGAGATGACTTCTGCCCGCTCCAGTCACTTGCCCAGTCTTTCTATTGGGTCATGTCTTCCAGTTGATTTATAAGAGTTCTTTACAAATTCTGGGTGCTGTGGCACACATCTCCAATTTGTAGGTAGCCTTCTGTGGATGAAGTCCCCGTTGGTGATTTATTTAACCCTGTGCTGCCTAATGGGAAGTAATAGCTATGCTGGAGGGTTTTGAGAATCAGATAACATGATATACATGAAAGCATTCTACTAGCTCTGTTGATTATTTGTTGTGAAAGTGTTTGTACTACTTTGTGGTTTATTGACACTGTTCGTCTACATAAGTGTGAGTTCTTTTTAAAATCTTCCTTTTAACTCAGGCTATACCTGGTGATAATTCTTGGGTTTCAGAGTCCCCCTGAAGACCCTGAATTGAATTTCTAGTAAAACTACTGCAACATGACTCCCTTAAGGAGATAGTATTTATTGTTTATGGAAGTTTCTTTTGGTTACTGTTGTTATTGATGAGGATATCTACTTTTTTATTTGTTTTGCTAGGCAAAAAGGATAAGTTGCGTGTCTACTATTTGTCCTGGTTAAGGAATAAAATCCTTCACAATGACCCAGAAGTGGAGAAGAAGCAGGGGTGGACCACCGTGGGCGACTTGGAAGGCTGTGTGCACTATAAAGTGGGTGAGTCCCAGCGGGCCGTGGGCTTGTTTTCCAGGGTTTCGTTGGCGTTTCACTTAGAGCCCACGTGTTCATAAAGCCCTCATTGTAGCTGGTTCCTGAGACGCAGCTCATTACTGTGACTGTAAGGCACCTTCCCTCCTGGAGACTCGGCGGACGCAGGGGCACCTCTGAGCAGGCACACTCCCCCCTGTGACGCAGCACGTCCGAGGGAGGGGCTCCGCCCTTCCTCTTTGACAGGCCACACTCTGCCCTGTAAGATGTGTTCACATGAACTCCAGGGAAGTCGGTCGACTTGGAGGACTGAGGGCCAAGGACTCCGGGTCCTGGGCATCTGGTGGGGCCTGCACGAGTTTGACAACGGCCGTGCTTGGCATTTTGAATCAAGTCCACTGTGCAAGCTCCTGCGCTCTTAACTAGGAAATGAATCTGGCTGGCCAGTCGGTGTCTCCTGGCAACTCCGTTTTTTCTTTTTGGCATGCATGCTGTGGTTCTATGCAGTAACACCTCACAAAAACAAAACAAAAAACCGTTTTCTTTGTGTATAAAAAAATCAAAATACCAGTATGGATGTTGGAAATAGAGGGGAAATCATGGTGCTGAGTCAAATTGAAGTTTTATGGGAGAGAGGATCTACTATCATTCCTCATTTAAAGGGGAGCTTGAGAAGATCCAGTGTCTGTCAGCCTTATTGTCAGCATAAGGGGCCTGCGAGCATTGGCTTCTGCTTGTGCGTTTCCTTTGGTTCCGTGTTTATGAAGCGCATGCTACTGGCCGTTCTCTGCTGCCAGGATGCCACCGTGGTTGGCATTGTCTTCTTGCTTACGTGAGCTGTCCGCAGTCTGCAGTCCCTGGCCAGTGATGGTCACAGCACTTGCCAGCATTAGAACGATTCTGAGTGATACCAGACAGTGCTGGTGTCTCCTGGGCATAGACCTTGGGATTAGGATTTTCTGGGTTGTGTTTATGTGAAACATTTTTGTTTGTTGAGGTGTAACTAAACTCATCCAAGTCTAAACTTAATGAAACAGCTCCCAAGAGCTGAACTGTTTATGATAGACTATCCTGCAGAGGGCACTAGAGGCAGCCGTGTGGAGGGAATGGGTTTTCATCAGAACAAGCAGAGCTCTCTTGTGACTCATTCCCACGGTATCGCAAGCATTTTCTGGAGATAAGGTTGCGTGAGGCGTCACTTATTTGAATGGTGGCAAGATGGCATTGAACAGGGAGAGGCATCAGGTTGGCAAGCCTGACTCTCATGTACAAAGGAAGAGACCATTGACAAAGGGACTGGGGTCTGCCCAGACCAGTGCATGCCTGTGCTCAGGGCTCTCGGGGGTTTGTTTCAGCAGAGTCACCCCTACAAGGTCAAAACAGCGGTTACGGGGGCATTCAATATGTGTGTGTGTACACGTACCTCTATTTCTGTGTGTAGATCATTGAAGAGACATTGTCTTTACTACCGCTCTTTTGTACAGAACTTTAGGTGGGATCCTAGCAATCACTGCCTCTCTAGGGCTAGTGTGGTTGGGAATGGTACTTGGTCTCATACACAAACAGAGAATCCAGCCTCCGCCAGGGGGTGTTTTGGTACAGACTCCTGTGCCTCGGCCTCGTGCTGTGATTGAGGGATTCTTGACGGATTAGTCTCATCACTGTCCTTTCCAAGTGCTACTGAGCCCTTGACTTCGGGGGGTACGCCTGGCATTGCCCCGGATAATTAAATACTTGCAGTATAAGATTAGGAGCAAGGGAGGGTACTCAATGGTAGTAACCAGCGAATTGGACAGCCTGAATCACGCACAAAAGAACTTGAAAAGGAAACTGAGGCTTGATCTCACTCAGCATTTTCCTCCTGTTGGTTTGGATGAACCAAAAGAAGTCATCTTTGCAAAGTTTGCAGAAGACAGCCCAAAGAATTTAGAGTTCCCATGTTGATACTGACTTGTGTTCTCATTTGTTTTTTTTCAGTAAAATATGAAAGAATCAAATTTCTCGTAATTGCTTTGAAGAGTTCGGTGGAAGTATATGCATGGGCACCCAAGCCGTACCACAAGTTTATGGCCTTTAAGGTAACAACATCGAGTGCACTTAAAAGTAACATTAGTCATGCACACTGCAACCAACAAGTTTAAAAACCGGGAACAGTTAACACTGATGGTGTAAAAGCTGTCACTAATAGTGTAAAAGCTGTCACTGATAGTATAAAAGCTGTCACTAATGGTGTAAAAGCTGTCACTGATAGTGTAAAGCTGTCACTAATGGTGTAAAGCTGTCACTAATGGTGTAAAAGCTGTCACTGATAGTGTGAAAGCTGTCACTGATAGTGTGAAAGCTGTCACTGATAGTGTGAAAGCTGTCACTGATAGTGTGAAAGCTGTCACTGATAGTGTGAAAGCTGTCACTGATAGTGTGAAAGCTGTCACTGATAGTGTGAAAGCTGTCACTGATAGTGTGAAAGCTGTCACTGATAGTGTGAAAGCTGTCACTGATAGTGTGAAAGCTGTCACTGATAGTGTGAAAGCTGTCACTGATAGTGTGAAAGCTGTCACTGATAGTGTGAAAGCTGTCACTGATAGTGTGAAAGCTGTCACTGATAGTGTGAAAGCTGTCACTGATAGTGTGAAAGCTGTCACTGATAGTGTGAAAGCTGTCACTGATAGTGTGAAAGCTGTCACTGATAGTGTGAAAGCTGTCACTGATAGTGTGAAAGCTGTCACTGATAGTGTGAAAGCTGTCACTGATAGTGTGAAAGCTGTCACTGATAGTGTGAAAGCTGTCACTGATAGTGTGAAAGCTGTCACTGATAGTGTGAAAGCTGTCACTGATAGTGTGAAAGCTGTCACTGATAGTGTGAAAGCTGTCACTGATAGTGTGAAAGCTGTCACTGATAGTGTGAAAGCTGTCACTGATAGTGTGAAAGCTGTCACTGATAGTGTGAAAGCTGTCACTGATAGTGTGAAAGCTGTCACTGATAGTGTGAAAGCTGTCACTGATAGTGTGAAAGCTGTCACTGATAGTGTGAAAGCTGTCACTGATAGTGTGAAAGCTGTCACTGATAGTGTGAAAGCTGTCACTGATAGTGTGAAAGCTGTCACTGATAGTGTGAAAGCTGTCACTGATAGTGTGAAAGCTGTCACTGATAGTGTGAAAGCTGTCACTGATAGTGTGAAAGCTGTCACTGATAGTGTGAAAGCTGTCACTGATAGTGTGAAAGCTGTCACTGATAGTGTGAAAGCTGTCACTGATAGTGTGAAAGCTGTCACTGATAGTGTGAAAGCTGTCACTGATAGTGTGAAAGCTGTCACTGATAGTGTGAAAGCTGTCACTGATAGTGTGAAAGCTGTCACTGATAGTGTGAAAGCTGTCACTGATAGTGTGAAAGCTGTCACTGATAGTGTGAAAGCTGTCACTGATAGTGTGAAAGCTGTCACTGATAGTGTGAAAGCTGTCACTGATAGTGTGAAAGCTGTCACTGATAGTGTGAAAGCTGTCACTGATAGTGTGAAAGCTGTCACTGATAGTGTGAAAGCTGTCACTGATAGTGTGAAAGCTGTCACTGATAGTGTGAAAGCTGTCACTGATAGTGTGAAAGCTGTCACTGATAGTGTGAAAGCTGTCACTGATAGTGTGAAAGCTGTCACTGATAGTGTGAAAGCTGTCACTGATAGTGTGAAAGCTGTCACTGATAGTGTGAAAGCTGTCACTGATAGTGTGAAAGCTGTCACTGATAGTGTGAAAGCTGTCACTGATAGTGTGAAAGCTGTCACTGATAGTGTGAAAGCTGTCACTGATAGTGTGAAAGCTGTCACTGATAGTGTGAAAGCTGTCACTGATAGTGTGAAAGCTGTCACTGATAGTGTGAAAGCTGTCACTGATAGTGTGAAAGCTGTCACTGATAGTGTGAAAGCTGTCACTGATAGTGTGAAAGCTGTCACTGATAGTGTGAAAGCTGTCACTGATAGTGTGAAAGCTGTCACTGATAGTGTGAAAGCTGTCACTGATAGTGTGAAAGCTGTCACTGATAGTGTGAAAGCTGTCACTGATAGTGTGAAAGCTGTCACTGATAGTGTGAAAGCTGTCACTGATAGTGTGAAAGCTGTCACTGATAGTGTGAAAGCTGTCACTGATAGTGTGAAAGCTGTCACTGATAGTGTGAAAGCTGTCACTGATAGTGTGAAAGCTGTCACTGATAGTGTGAAAGCTGTCACTGATAGTGTGAAAGCTGTCACTGATAGTGTGAAAGCTGTCACTGATAGTGTGAAAGCTGTCACTGATAGTGTGAAAGCTGTCACTGATAGTGTGAAAGCTGTCACTGATAGTGTGAAAGCTGTCACTGATAGTGTGAAAGCTGTCACTGATAGTGTGAAAGCTGTCACTGATAGTGTGAAAGCTGTCACTGATAGTGTGAAAGCTGTCACTGATAGTGTGAAAGCTGTCACTGATAGTGTGAAAGCTGTCACTGATAGTGTGAAAGCTGTCACTGATAGTGTGAAAGCTGTCACTGATAGTGTGAAAGCTGTCACTGATAGTGTGAAAGCTGTCACTGATAGTGTGAAAGCTGTCACTGATAGTGTGAAAGCTGTCACTGATAGTGTGAAAGCTGTCACTGATAGTGTGAAAGCTGTCACTGATAGTGTGAAAGCTGTCACTGATAGTGTGAAAGCTGTCACTGATAGTGTGAAAGCTGTCACTGATAGTGTGAAAGCTGTCACTGATAGTGTGAAAGCTGTCACTGATAGTGTGAAAGCTGTCACTGATAGTGTGAAAGCTGTCACTGATAGTGTGAAAGCTGTCACTGATAGTGTGAAAGCTGTCACTGATAGTGTGAAAGCTGTCACTGATAGTGTGAAAGCTGTCACTGATAGTGTGAAAGCTGTCACTGATAGTGTGAAAGCTGTCACTGATAGTGTGAAAGCTGTCACTGATAGTGTGAAAGCTGTCACTGATAGTGTGAAAGCTGTCACTGATAGTGTGAAAGCTGTCACTGATAGTGTGAAAGCTGTCACTGATAGTGTGAAAGCTGTCACTGATAGTGTGAAAGCTGTCACTGATAGTGTGAAAGCTGTCACTGATAGTGTGAAAGCTGTCACTGATAGTGTGAAAGCTGTCACTGATGGTGTCTAACTTCCCACAAGAGCGGCCGTCTCTAACGTCAAGCCTCGCTCTGCTCTCCAGGCCCCAGTGTGGGGTGGAGAGCAGGCGCCGTGCAGACCTGGTCGCCGTGCCAGTGTGGCAGCAGGAAGCGGCAGAGGGACACCGCCTCCACTGACCTTCCACTGTCCTCAGGGATGTGTCTAATGCAGATAGACAGCTGTAAAGTGTATTTATTCAACAGCGTACTGGTTAAAAATTGTTACAGCCCTAGCTGAGGCCTCAGTGGTTAGAGCGTCAGCCCAAGAACTGAAGGGTCCCAGGTTCATTTCTGGTCAAGGGCACATACTGCAGTTGTAGGCTTGATCCCCAGCCCCAATGGTGGTGTGTGTGGGAGGCAACCAATCCATGTATTTCTCTCTGTGTGTCTCTCTCCCTTCCCTTCCACTCTCTCTAAAAAAATCGATGGGAAAAATATGCTTGTGTGAGGATTAACAAGAATTTAAAAAATAAAAATATAAAATTAAGTTACAGAAATTCTTAATGACACCAGGAATGAATAGTATAGTATTACACCCTAAATAGAAAAGTAGATTAAAATGTGTAATATACCATTTTTGTTTAATGAAAAAATTGTAGAAAAGTATTTTTATTTTATATGGGTATTTTTGATATTTTAAAAATAACTTTAGAGTTTGCACTAGATATAATTTTATGAAATTTTTAATTAAAATGATAGTACTGTGACATTAGATATTGTAAATACCTAACTTAACACATTGCGGACGGATCACGAGAATTCTCGCTTCACATTATACAGTGTTTTATGAAGTCTCATACTTTAAAAAGATATTAGCTTGTAAGGACATATAATAAATAACTTCAAAATGCAATGGGTATTTAATTTTAAAGCATGCCTTTAACATTTATGTAAAACGTTTTTTGTACTCCTTCAATAGAAACTTATCTGGCCACTGGGTGAAGCTAGCTAGCAATAAAACTACTGGTCCACAATGTGTTAATAATATCATTTCTAATATTAGACACAAAACCTTAAGCATAGCCTCTGTGGCTGTTTAGTGTAGGGTGAGAATTTAAGAATTTTTCATCCAAAATGACTCTATTTATTTAAAAAAAATAGTTTTGATATATTTTATTCAGGGTAAATCACCTTTAATTACTAGGGAAATTGACATATTTAGATTGCTTATTGCTTGATTCCCAGGAGAGCTGGCTAAATGGGGTTATCATATTGCTTAAAAAATAAATCTACAGCCCTAACTGGTTTGGCTCAGTGGATAGAGCATCGGCCTGCAGACTGAAGAGTCCCGGGTTTGATTGCTGTTAAGGGCACGTGCCCAGGTTGTGGGCTCACTCCCCAGTAGGGGGCATGCGGGAGGCAGCAGATCAATGATTCTCTCTCATCACTGATATTTCTCTCTCTTTCTCTCTCTCTGTCTCTCTCTCTCCCTCTCTGAAATCAATAAAAATATATTTAATAAATAAATAAATATACATATTATTGAATGAAAGTAATTGGTTATGAAATTACAATGATCTGAGATCGGTTCTTAATATATTCTCTGTGTTAAAGGCACTGTACTAGTTGCTTTGAGTATCTTATTTAAATCTGTCTTGGGAGCTGTAGGTACTGATATCATTGCAGAGCTAGGCCTCCAGGCCCATGTGTTGGTTAGAGGGGGAAGTCGCAGTCCTGGCAAAGCCTCGGTGCCCGCAGGGCTCTCTGCCCCGACCCGCTAGAACAGGAGGTGCTGCAGAGCCTGGCTCTCCCTCGGGCTTCGCTGGGACGTGCAGCGGACGGACAGAGTGACAGCAGAACTCTGGGACTAGGGAGGGAGAGTTTGGGGTGTGGCTTCTGGAAGATGTGTTTTCTAGGTTTCCGTCAACAGACGAAAGCATGTTGAATGACAGGCTTTGTGGAAGCGAGTGTGGCTGTGGCCGTGGCAGGTGGCCCCGTCACCGCAGGGCGTGATCGCGGCCCGCCTGCCTCACGGCTCCTCCGCCTGTTTGTGCTGCAGTCGTTTGCGGACCTGGCGCACCGGCCGCTGCTGGTGGACCTCACGGTGGAGGAGGGCCAGAGGCTGAAGGTGATCTACGGGTCGTGCGCCGGCTTCCACGCCGTGGACGTGGATTCGGGATCCGTCTATGACATTTACCTGCCGACACACGTAAGGAAGAGCCCCCTCTGCGGGCTGGCTGCTTGGTTCCGCCCTGTCTTTACTCTGCTTAGGGAGCTCGCAGCAGGGACTCCTTCCCTGGCGGGGGGTGAGTATTTAGGTGGCCTGCGGGTCACAGCTGTGCTCTCGGGGCACGCGGGCCCTGCCCGGCTCTGCAGCCCTGCTGGGACGAGCAGCAGGCGAGTGCGGGCAGTCGCTGGTGGTCAGAACACCCCTGTGGGGAGTGCTTTGCGGACCATCCTTTCTTAAATGGCGCCCACAGTCCTCATGTGTTCCCGGAACTCTAGAGCAGGGGTCCTCAAACTACGGCCCGCGGGCCACATGCAAATAGAAATATTGTATTTCCCGTTTTGTTTTTTTACTTCAAAATAAGATATGTGCAGTGTGCATAGGAATTCGTTCATAGTTTTTTTTTAAACTATAGTCCGGCCCTCCAACGGTCTGAGGGACAGTGAACTGGCCCCCTGTTGTTTGAGGACCCCTGCTCTAGAGCATAGGGCCTGAGAAAGGTGGACTGGGATAGAGGTGGCAGGGTCCCAAGATGTGACCCAGTGGCGGGTTTGCCGCCAGGAGGGTGAGCCCGTGCTCCTCGGAGACAGCTTCCAGCCCTTCCGCAGGGACGGCCACGGCCAGAACCTCTGCCTGTGTCCCCGCAGATCCAGTGCAGCATCAAGCCCCACGCCATCATCATCCTGCCCAACACGGACGGCATGGAGCTGCTGGTGTGCTACGAGGACGAGGGCGTCTACGTCAACACGTACGGCCGCATCACCAAGGACGTGGTGCTGCAGTGGGGCGAGATGCCCACCTCCGTCGGTGCGTGGCGCTGGGGGGCATGGTGCTTGGGGAGGCATCGACCAGCCATGGGAGTAGAGCTTTTCTTGGAAATTGCATGTTTGTCAGCAGAGTGGTTGGTGTGCACAGTGGGGAGTTAGACTGTAGACCAGGGGACTATTATAGAACAAAATCTAAATAATTATTTAACACATTTTAAAACTCTTGTTGTTGACAGTCCTTCATTTAATCTTAGGCCATTCAGGGGAAGTGGGACTTGTCTCCTGTGGCCGAGTCTCGCCAGAAGCACAGCCTCTGTTCTGGAACATTCACATCCAGGCAGGGGCAGGGGGCTGGCGTTCTCCTGGTTTTCAGTCTCAGGCTGCTGGGCTTTGCTGCAGTGGAGGCCTTCGTCCTGCCTCCCTCGGGAGGGTGCATGGAAATGCAGCCTTAGGCCAACACCTCAGTGGTCCTCAAGCCTCAAGACATGGGAACGAATAGATTGAACCATTGATTCAAGTGACAGGTTCTCAGGATAGGCCGGAAGCTGGCAAAGGCAGAGGTCCTGAAAGCAAAGCTCTTAAATGCTAGTCATTTAGGGCTTGTGTGTGTGTGTGTGTGTGTGTGTGCGCGCGCGCGCGCGCGCACGCTCACATGCATGCGTGTGCATTTATTACATAAGCAGCACCTTTTAAAGGCTATTTCTTATCTTTAACAATATGTGTCTTTGCCTCTCCAAAAGCTTATATCCGATCCAATCAGACGATGGGCTGGGGCGAGAAGGCCATAGAGATCCGGTCTGTGGAGACGGGCCACCTGGATGGCGTGTTCATGCACAAAAGGGCTCAGAGACTGAAATTCCTGTGTGAGCGCAACGACAAGGTACCCGCGTTCTCGCTTTGTCCTGCCGCAGTGGCTGCTGTCTCGTGGGGTTCGCAGCTTTCCCTAGGGTTTTGATAGATTCCCACTGAATGCATCATTTTTTCAGGAGTGGATTTGTAGCCATGTTTACAAGCCCCTCCCACACGAGCCCCGGGGCACCGAGCCCAGTGCGGAGCCTTCCTTTCCACGGCTGACCACATCCTGCCTTCTCCCCTGACCAGCTTTGGAACGGGGCAGACATGGCCAGGGCGTGGGCCCGCCGGACTGCCTTGGGAAGGACAGCAAGGCGGGCGGGTCTCCCCAAGCCCAGCCTTCTCTGCTGTTCCCTCGGGAAAGCACCCGGCACCCGAGGCAGCCAGTCCTCAGCCTGAGGAGCGTGTCTTCACGCTGATGTGCGGCGGGCATCCCAGCGACAGCCTGTGGCTGGCTCCTCAGGGAAGGGGAAGTTTGGATGGGACAGAAGCTATGGGCCCTCAGCGGCCCTCGCACCCCCCTCCCCCCCTTTGCCTGCAACCTGAAAGGCCATCTCCCAAATGTTTACCTGGAGAACCCACACTGCCTCAGGCCCTACCCGGGATCTGCCCAGCTTTGTGGCTTGTATTTCCCGCGTGTGTTTAATGTGGCTGTAAGTTTAAGCTTCTTTGAACTTCCGTTAAATAATTTTATCACTCATGATGGCATATCCTCAAAGTTTATAAAAGATACAAAAGTAAGTAACTTTATAGAGTCATGAAATAACTAGTACATTTTAGCTTAATTTTTTAAAAGGGAAAAACAGGTTGCTGAGGAGTCCTCCCCCGTTGTCCATTGAGCTTTCTCTTTTTTTAATCATATGTGAGCGTTTATTCCAATAATGCCAGCACCAGGGCATCCAGAAAAATCTGCTCTACTCCTCCCCATAGCAGCCACTTACATCGGGTGGAAGGACAGAGATCACATGGGAAAGCAGGTGTTCCAGGCACGGGCAGTGGGCAGGGTACAGTGGTTACAGGCCAGGCAGCTGGGGGTCGAGAAGGGCAGGTGCTTCCGGGACCAGGGTGTTTCAGCAACGTGACGACAGGCAGATCTCCGAAAGGAGATGGACTGCCTGCGTTCCTAGGTTTCCTTCTGTGTCCGGGCCCACGGCTCAGCCAGGTTAGCATGTGCTTCTCCTCCTCACTGAGGGACTCCAGCCACACAGGGCGCTCTCTCTGGGGCCTTGAGACGGCCCACGACCCATGAATCCCACCCGGCCTTGTGTTCTCCGTGGGGGCCGCACCCTGTGCTATTTCCTGGCAACTCGGAAATGGGTAACCTCATTGCGCTTTCTAAGCACAGGTGTCTTTTAAGACGTGTGCGCAGTGGAGGTGGAAGAAAGAGCCCAGTTTCAGGAACACCCTTTTTTTCTTTCAACGTTCTCACAGTATGACTGTACAAGGAGTTGTTTGCCTGATCCCCTTACTAGTTGTAATACACATTGGCTGCAGATGGCCACTCCTGGTAAATGAAGCATTGGTGTCCTCCCAGCTTCCTGTAGAAGGAGCCCTTGGGGTTCGACCCTCACGTGGGCGGGTGGCGGGCAGTGCCCTGCGGCCTGGAGCCCCACGGGATCTGCTGCTGACCACCCCTCTCTCGCCCACAGGTGTTCTTTGCTTCTGTGCGGTCGGGCGGCAGCAGCCAGGTGTACTTCATGACGCTGGGCAGGACCTCCCTTCTGAGCTGGTAGAGCCGTGGCCCGACCGCTGCCGTCTTCAGACCCGAGGGCTCGGAAGCTCGGCCGGAGCGCCGCGTGCCCGGCAGCAGGACCGTGCGCAGACCCCACGGCTCTCCTCCTCCTTCCTGCTCTCCCTACCAGTTTGTCCCCAATCTTTTTTAAATTTTTTTTCTTTAAAAAATAAATCAGGCTGCAATGCAGCTGGTGCTGTTCAGACTCTACCATCAGGTGCTATAGTGTTTGGGGTCGAGCATCAGACCGGCAAGCAAACACCTTTCCTCCGGCCAGAATCCCTTGGAGTGACTGCGGGTCTGCGGGCGGCGGCGCCAGGCGGGCAGGGGGGCCAGTGGGGTCTCAATGAGCAGTTGCAGCAGCGAGAGCAGATTTGCTAGAGTAACATTAACAATGTATTTAATTGACCTTTCTTTTTGTAATGTGACAATATGTGGACGAAGAAGGGCAGGTTTAAGAAGTTAATATTTATAAAATGTGAAAGACAGTTACTAGATAACTTTTTTGGGTGGGTCTGGGAGGCGGGTAGGGGGTGAAGGGGTCCCATTTTGTTTCTTTGCATATTTTGTTTGTTTCACCGAGAGCTCAGTCATTTTTCTGTGCGCCAGGTTTTGCCTAAATCATGTGCAGATGGTTCTTAAAAAGAAAAAGGAAATGTGTGCGTCCGTGTCGTGGCCAGAACTTCGCTGTGTGACAGTATCAGCACTGCCTCCGCTCGAGGGCTAATTTCTGTTTAAACCTAGACGTGCGACAGGTTTTACCACAGCCTGCACTTGCAGAGGAAAAAAAATGTTTTCAACCACATGTTTATTTTTTTTTCCTACCTCATTGTTTTTAATGCATTAAGAGGTGGTTTAGTTTCTGTGTTTTTGGAGGAAAACATGAATGCTTAATTTAATCTTAATACCAAAACTATCAGGGTGAAGTCTGACTGTATGTGGGCACAGGTGTCAGCGGCGCCGCGGCTGTCCCGTGCAGGCGGGCGGGTAGCAGACAGGCGTCGTCTGAGACAGGCACACCGACTGTCCGGTGCTGCAGGAGCCTCCGGGTGGGGGTTAGCCTTTCTGAAACGCAATGTGCTGACACTGGTTCAAGAACGTAGTAATCCTGCTTGTGCATGAGACGTATTGTCCTGGGTTCCGGGCGTAATGGCAGAGTCCTGGCTTCTCCTGTTCTCTCATTCTGTTGTTCTCTGTCTTTTAAACCAACTTTACTTCATGAACATGTTCATGGCATTTGTGATAATGTCTTGGGTAATCTTTTGTTCCTGGCTCCCTGTCACTGTTCCTCTGAGGATGTCATCGGAGAAGAGCCACGCTCGGCCGTGGTCCTGCCCCCGTGGTGCCACCTGGGGCCGCCGGCACCGCAGGCATTTCACAGGCTTCGGAGCTAACCCACCGACACTCTCGGGTTTGAGTTGAACAGAATTGAATTCGTTGCTGGGCTTCAGGTACCGAACTCAGCTGGCCACTTGTCCCTGCAGGTGGGTTGGTGTGTGCCCTCCGGGGCCGTGTGTCACCGCCTGGGCCTTGTCAGCCAGACTGTTGCTACAGCTTGAAGCAGGTGCCCAATTGGGTTTCTCCATAAAAGATTGTGAGCTGTTAAAATTGCATTCTTCTAGAGAAGGGATGATTTTGTTCCTTTAAAGGGTAATTCACAGAAGTGCCAAGGTGGCAAAATGACAAAAGAAAGCAGTATTATGATGCTCCCGTGAAGTGCGGGACCGGAGGGTGGTGCCAGCCTTCACCAGCGCCGCCGGCGGTCAGCCTGCGAGGTCAGCGTCCGTGTGCGGCAGTGTTCCCTTCGTTCTCGGGCACGTGTTGTGTTGGAGAGAATGTTTACAAAAAGGGGTTTGCTACACTAACGTGCATCACATATTTATGGATTATTTTTAATTGACTTTTTTAATGGGTTATTTAGGTTTCCGTCCTAGTTGTAGTTCACTTTTGGTGATTCATAATCCCTAATTTTGCCAGTTATCAGTGTGCTAAACGGTAACTCGCCTGACCGACCACAGTGGATTCGCCAGCCGCACAGCTGCACGGTGGGGCCAGGCGCAGCCTTCTCTTCCGTGCTAACTTCTGTGAATTATGAAAATTACTGTTGTTCCCCCCATTTTTTCTATTAAATAAAGTAAAAATGACACCTATTTGTGGCATGAGTTTCAAATGTATTCTGTTCTTTCAGAATGTTTCCTTCCCACACCGCCCCTTGCACAGCGGGCTGCCCAGGGGTCCCCAGCATGGGCTGGGAAAGTCGCAAACATTTGTTCAAGATCCGGAAGGAAATTGGTCGTGAGCTCTCAAGCACCATGTTTTTGGAGACAAAAAGGAGGGAGGCTGGTCCTTCGGGAAAGTCGGCTGTTTTGCAAGTCTGCGTTGGGCCAGGAAGTAGAAGAGCATGTTGTCTGCACCGGCGAGGGCAGTGACAGCAGCTCTTTCTCAGGTGGCGCAGCAGTAGTGACGGATCTAACACGGCTCCTGGGCGTCAGGTCGCGGCTGTGCCCGGCGGTGCCCCTGGGTCAGCAGGAATGACCCCAGACGGGTCTGGGCCCTGCCCTTGCCTTCTGCACTCTGCCCAAGCCTTGGGGCTAGAGAGATGGCGTGCTGTTATCAATTAATGTTAATAAACCAGCTCCTTTGCACTTCATCCTAGAAATGTTATTTCTCTGAGCTGAAAATAAAACTGTAACCAGGCCACATGAGTACGGGTTTTCTTTTTCTGCTGTGTGTGTTGCAGCCGGTGGTGGTTGGGGATAACTCCAGTGCATGCTGGTTGTGGGGCACCGTTCCTGCTGTGCCCGCGAGCCGCCTGCAGGAAGTGGAGGACAAAGGCGGCCCAGTACCGACCCCAGCTCGGCGCGGCGTGGCAACATTGCTGTCTCTGCTGCCTCAGGCCACTGTCCCCACAGGCCCGGGCCCATCACTGCGCCCCTTCGTGAAGGCCCTTGATTCCACGTCTGCCTCCTTGTTGCTCAGTACAGGAAATTTGATTGTGCTGGTCCAGCTTATAAAATCCTCACTCCTGGTTTGGTCTAAGTCATAAAGTGCTGAGCGTGCCCGACAGAAGCTCTGGAGGGACCTGCGTCAAGTTTGGACAAGCACTTCCACTCCTTAAACTTGTCTGGAAGTCGGACATAACTACAAACCTCAGAAACCAATATTCAGCAACTGTTTTTGCGATAAATGATACTAAATTCTTTTAACAGCTCTATTGAGATCTAATTTGCAGACCATACAATTTGTCCGTTTAAAGTAGTTTAGTGGCCTTGAGTCGTTTTTTATTATCCCAAGAAGTCATCCCACTGGCCTTTACCCCTCCTCCCCCACTTCCCATCCTAGTATATAAGCAGCCACTCATCTTCTCTCAGAAGGGGCCTGCCTCTGGCATCTCCTGTGAATGGAGTCACACTGCGTCCTTGGTGACTGGCGTGTGGTTTGTGACGGGCTCGCCGGTGCTGTGTGTGGCCATCCTTGGTCCTAGCCTCGGGACCAGCCACACGCTGGCAGCCAGGTCCCAGCCTCAAGTGAAAGCCACGGAGTTGACCTTTGGAGAATGAGCAGTCCCAGAGCCGGCTCCCTGCTGAGAGGTGTTCCAGTCTGAGCTTAGTAACTCAGTGGTTCCCGTTTTTCCAAGAGGTGGATGCTAAACACAGGCTCATTCCAGGTCAGGGGTGGGGGTCCAGTTTTGAACTGGGGACTGTTCCGGAAGCTCCCGTGCTCAGTGAGAGCAAGCCTTTGTTGCCCAGGAAGTTGGGGACTGAGCGTTCTCCCTGGTGTTGGAGGCCTGGGTCCCTCTCACTGAAGTGTGCTCACCCCATGAGAGCAGGGCCTGCTGAGCCAGGCCGTTTTACCCTGGGCAAGTCGGTGCTTGCAGCGGCCACGTTTCGGAAGGCTGGTCCTGCGGACACCTGTGGATGGTACCTGCATCGAGGGCGTTTCCTCAGCGCTGCCTCCTGGAAGGCCACCTGGTGCCTCACCTCTGGGAGGGAGCCTGGTTGAGCAAGTGTGGGTGCCGGTGCACTTCTGGGAACATGGTTTCTTTTCGGTCCATATACCAAGTTGAGCACCCACAGTGCTGAGGGGTCCTGAGGTGCTGGATCCTCTGAGGAGATGCCGGGAGCCACCTGGCGGGGGTGGGGGGGCCTTGAAAGTGTGCTCCGGGCCTTCTAGGTGTCAGGGCAGAGCTGTGCACGTGCCGGGGACAGATCGCGCTTCTGAGCTGAAGCTACAGGTGGCTGCCAGGGAGCTCCTGGGAGCAGGCAGGCGAGGGAGCAGCGGGGCTGCCTGCAGGACTATGCTCGGCTGAGCCCCAGGGTCTAACCCACTGCAGCTCAGCACAGGTGGGGACCCACCTGGGAAGACCTCAAACGAATTCCCATAAAGACTGGTTCAAAGAAAAGGTAACAAAAAAATAGAATTATGTAAACAAAGCGTTCAACGAATTGTCCTAGTCTGGGGTTTTCAACACGATGAAGATAGCAGCTACCTTGTGTTCGCGTGCACAGCAGTGGTCGGGCTGTTACACACGCCTCCATCTGGGAGGGAAGGTGCGGTCCGTACTTGTCCCCGTCAGTGTATTTGGGGGGAGATCAAGTGAAGGAGGGGCTGCTGGGCAAGGTGCCAGATGGTCGCGCCGAGGACAGCGGGTGCCTGCAGGGGCCGTGTCTCCGGAATGAAGGCTCAGTCACCACAGCAGGAGGTGGAGTGGGCAGCCCAGTGGGGCCGGTCCGGCCCCGAGGCGCTGCGACTGGACACGGGTGCCCACACTGCGCACACCTTGAAAGATGATCGAGTCAATGCTTAATGACACAGTTCATTTTCAAATTTTAAAAGAATCTGCAGAAATGAATAACTTTTTTGTCGGAGCCTGTTTTCAAACTGATGACTGTTCTGGTTCAGGCACTGCTGCTAACGTGAAGCAATGGAAACACAAACATCAAGAATTTTTGGCTGGTTGGTATTGGTGTGCCCTCAATTCATCGACTGTTGCTGGTTTAGTACCGTAAACTTCATCTTTCATGAATCCCCATAAAAAAAGTCTAGTGGCACCTTAGGACACATTTTCTTTGTTCAAAGTTTAGTCTGGCTTCACCCATTATTTCAGATCAGTTAAACGTGAAAAGGAGTGAAAATAAAGTGAGTCATCAGCTGTTAAAGTGTGTACACATTTGGGGGATACCCTGTGTGCAAGGCTGGTGAACATTGTTGAGCCCACGTACAAAATGGCTTTGGAATCTGTAAACAGGACTGGTTTTTGAGCAAATAGGTCTTTAGGCAGCAATTGACTCCGTGGCAGCCGGGCCGGGAGTGGCAGAGATGGGGACTTGCTTCCCCTTTCCTGGGAGCGAGACTGGCTTCCCGGTGGACTCCCCAGCCCTAGTTCAGGACCTGCAGACCGCCCCCCCGCCCCCCCAGGAAGGGCAAGGCTTGCTGCTCAGACCAGGCGAGGTGGCTCCCTTGGTCGGAGGAAGGAGCGGAGTGCGCATTCCCAGCCCCTGCACCCAGTTTCCAGCTGTGGGCAAGGGGTGCCGGTATGGAAAGCAGGGAAAAGGTGTTGGTGTGGGTCTAGGGCGTCACACTGCACGTCTCCCGCCCGTTTCCTTCATCCCCAGGCCACGAGGGAGGGGTCACTGCCGAGGCCGGTCGGGCCCAGAGCCACAGGGAGGCTTGGCAGCAGCCGCTCCTGAGGGAGGTCAGGGTTAGACGGATGCCCGTCCACTGCTGAGGAACAGCGTCCAGTCAGGACACGCGGGTCCCATGCAGGAGCAGCAAGAGCCTGGTCTGCTGAGAAGTCAGATGTCTCGCGGTTGTCGAGAAAACCCATTCCACCTTCATGTCCAGACATGGGTCCTGCCATATGTGAGCCATAAAAATGGGCCCAGCCCTGGCCAGCAGCACAGCTGGTTGGAGGGTTGTCCTGTGTACCCCCCACCCCACCTTCCCAAAAAGGTGGAAGGTTCAGTTCCCAGTCGGCACATGCCCAGTGTGCGGGTTCGAGCCCCAGTTGGAGCGTACCCAGGAGGCAAGCCTGTCGGTGTTTCTCTCACAGATGTTTCTCCCTCTCATTCTAAAGTCAATCAACATACTCGGGTGAGGATAAAAAGAAGGGCCCGTGAGGAAGAAACCGAGAGACGACAGGGCAGTGCTGCCTGCTGCTCTCACGGCACTGTCGGCACTGTCCTCCATGTCAGCGCAGAGGAGCGAGGTGTCTGAGCCAGGCCTCCGCCCCGCGTGGATCTGTGCCCCGTGTGCTCTGCGCCTCTGGAGAACGTGCGCTGTCTGCCATGCTGTTCACATTGAAAACTTCAGTTTTGTGAACTGGGTGTAACTAGAGAGGCCTCATCCTGGGCTTACCACTCAGGACCAAACTCCTACCAGTGGTTCTCAACCTTCTGGCCCTTTAAATACAGGTCCTCATGTTGTGACCCAACCATAAAATTATTTTCGTTGCTACTTCATAACTGTAATGTTGCTACTGTTAGGAATCGTAATGTAAATATCTGATATGCAGGATGGTCTTAGGCGACCCCTGTGAAAGGGTCGTTCAACCGCCAAAGGGGTTGCGACCCACAGGTTGAGAACCACTGTCCTAGACATTCCCCCAACGGCACGTAATCAAGTTCAGCTATTGGAGCAGAGTTTTTTAAATCTACATGAAAGTGAACATGAAGTGTCTGCTTCAAAATAAGTGTTCAATAGTTTTATGTGGAGATTAGAAATGGCAGCAGAGTAAGTGGATGCTGCACGGACATGCTCCCAAGACCAAACTGGAATTACAACCAAAATACAGGAAAACTACCTGAATAATCAACGGAAGACACGCTGGAGAGAACCCTGATACCCGAGAACCAAAAGGGGAGACTGAGTAGAGACTGGTAGGAGAAGCGGAGGTGAGAAAGGGCTGGCCAGGCTCTGACAGATAGCAGCTGAAGTTTGGGAGGGATATCTCAGCTCTGGGGGGTTGCCACTGAGAACTCTGGGATCTATCCACAAGCTGGGCTCCGGCAGAGGAGGGCAGAGTGGACGGAAGCTGTGGGAGCAGAAGCCAGGGTTGGGGGCTCTGGGTTAAAGCTCAGAAGGAAGACACACAGGTTTCCTGTGCTGAGTCATTCCATCACTCTGCAGAGGTCATGTTTCTCACACAGAC